TTTACATATTTTGCAACTATAAGCTGAAGAGAGATTCGTATCGTTTTAACATCAAGAATGCGTTGCGTGAAAGAAAATAAGAAGACGGAACTCATAGTTTCTGAAATAACCGAGGTAAACTCAAATATTTTTTCAATTAAATTCAAAACATATTTATTATATATTATTACAAAACAGTCAAGATGTTTATCATTTTATGTTAAATATGAAAGATTACAATCTAATCTGAAAAAAAAAATATTTTTTTTTACTATCTGTTATTTTAGAAAAACTGATGATGGTGGAAAAATACACCGAAACGTATTTTAGTTGATAAATTAAATTGATAAATAGGCAATAAATGACTGAAACCCAGGAATTAATTTTCATTTGGAATTAAAACACAGTTAGAAAAGTATGTACAATTTGTTGATAATCTCATTTGATAAAATTACTCAATTTATTCGCATTCGGACAAAACATGAGCCATCAGATCGAGCCGCCCACGTCATGAATGCCGTCAGTTTCTTCGACAACTCTTGCATAACAAATGAAATACGCGATAAGCCCTTGAATCAACTACGTGGGCGAAGGGTTCGTTATGCACTTATGACGTCATTGCCAAAGTCCAGAGTTGAACTGTGATTGGCGAAACCATCACATATTCATACTTTTGCATGAAGCTCGAAAGATGCCACGTCAGGCTCGAAGGACCAAAAAAAATTGTCTCGAATAAAACTTCCGTCGGTAATAGGAAAATGTCCTTTACGTGCTGCAATGTTGTCAATGATGATAAATTTTCCTTCATCAGGGAAAAATTGCGGTGGAAATTTGTTGTTACGTTCCTGTAACGACGCCGACGTCTCGTTGCGCTGGGTAACGCCGTCGGCGTCGTCAAACTCGGAAATTATTTTTAGACCAGAGAGGCAGCATATTCCGTCACATCATGACCTCTTCCTAGTTGTTTTAGTATGTTTGATTTTTCTCCTCTAGTTGTCACAAAAACCCCCATTTCACGATTTCATCGAAGTCATTCGATCGGTCAACAATGATTTCACCCCTGCTCGTCCCAAGTAAAGCGTCAACAGTGTGTAGTTGTAGTTTTTCTAAAAATAGTTTTGATAGTGTGCGTTTTTTCTTAAGTGTGTTACATTTATAGCTTCGCTCGCATTTTTAACGTAAGTTTGCCTGTCTTTTTCTAGAATTAGTTGACGTGGCAGAGTACAGCTCAACGCCTTTTTAAAACATAGTTATACTGGAAAGAAACTGCTTTGCCGGGTTGTTACTGAATTGAATGGCTATTGGCACACGAGAAAAAAATAAGGCTTATTCAAGTCAGATTCATTATAAAATCTATTGTATTTTCACTTTGATAATTCAAGTAGCAATCTGGCGCAGTCGGTAGGATTGACATTATTGGCGCAATGTTCCATTAATATACCGACAAACTTTTAGGGGCGCCAGGGGACATGAAGACAAGCATTTTTTGCTTTATAATCATTTGTGTGAAAACCCAGATAGCATAAAATATTACATACATATTTAGGAAATATTTATATGTTTGCTAAATATTACAGATCAAAAGCAAGTATTTCTTAAATATTAGTTTTAAAATATTTGTTTCTAATATTTAATTAGCATGAAGCAAATAAGTTTTAATAATTTTCTTATTACATAATACTTTTTGTACCTATATATAACAACCTTAACACCCAAAAAGTTCCTAATATATTATTTTTAATAAATGTGAACAAACTTTAGAACATATTACCTGAATTTTCATTGATCAATGAATAGCAAATATTTCAGAGCAAAACGAAAATTTTTTAAAATATTATCTAAATGTTATTTAGAAAATATTTGTTTCTAATATTTAATTAGCATGAAATAAATAAAACAATAATAGGTTTTCTTAGTACGTAATACTTTTTGTGTCTATAAGTGAGAACAAACTTTAGAACATAATATTTCAATTTTCATTGGTCAATGAATAGAAAATATTTCAGAGCAAAAGAAAATATTTTTTAAATATTATTTAAA